CAACAACGCTTTATTGGTTCCGCTATCGGGACGGAACCAATAATGGCGAGCCGTTATAAAAATAAAAAAAAAAGTCAATTTTTATGTTTTATTTAGATTACAAAAATAAATCGTAATAAAAATAATCCTATTTATGATGTTTTAAAAATTAAGACCTATGAAAGACTGATTGAAGACATTTTAATACCAATTAAGGCCTTAGTTTTATTTTGAAGAATTCAATGCCTTTTAAGACTTTTTAAGGACCCTGTTTTTAATTATTCACTGATTCTGCGTTTCAGGCTGATTTTCCAGGCTGTTCAGAATACTCCAGATCTCTTCACACATTTGAGGGTTTCTGCTTCTTTTCAAGGTCTTCTCCAGCTCTTTGATGCTCGTCTGTCGATGATTGGATTCTACTGGAATCTCTGCTGCCTTCATGTGGTACTCAATAGACCTGGGACTATCCTTTCTATTGAAGAATAAATATTTAGCATAATAGTTGTAAAGCATCTGTTTCTCAGCTAAAGGTAGATCTTCTCTATTCAGCATTTCTTCATAAATCTGGTCGGCTTTCTCCATGTCAACCTTTGCATATAAATCAGCCAGAGTCGTTTGAACTCTAAGCTTTGATTCCTCAAAGAGAACGATCCTTTCCTCCCAGAGACTGATTGCTCGAGTGATCGTTTCTCTTGGAGTATTGTGTTTGCAGTCTGCAGACAAAATCTTTTTCATGTAGCAGATAGCTGCACTTCTCTTTAAAACACGTGAGTCAGGATGCCTCTTCAGGGCCTTCTCAGCTAACTCAACAGCTTCATCTTTAGATATATAATGTCTGTAAAGGCGCAGTAACGGTCTCATTCCACTGTAAAAGCTTGGGGACCTCATTAGTACTCTTTCAGCCAATGCTTGAGCTTCCTTTTGAATTCGTTCTCCTTTTGCAGCTCTTGCCTCCAAATAAAGAGCAGCAACATATAGGTTTTCTGGATCTCTTTCTGTGGCGGATCTCAGGCTCTCCAGGACATCAGGAGTAATTTCGCTCATGTTGCCCTTGAAGGTGTCTGCTGATAGCATCACAGAGCTGCTCTGCCATTCTATGTTATTTGGCTGCATTTTTATGGCTCTCTGGAAGAACTCTGCAGCTTTCTCCTTGTCAAACCTCATCAGGGTCCAGGCCTTCTCAGCACAGACCTCTGGGTGGAGCTCTTCCTCAGGTGGTGCTGGGTATTCACTCATCAGAGCTTCAACCTTTGACAGGTAATCCTGACTCTTCTCGTCTTCGCCCATATGATGGTGCAGCCAAGCCAGATTCCCATAGTTCACTATCAACCAGGGACCTTCATCAGAGCCTTTAAGACGCTGGAAGGTCTCAGTGGCTCGGCTGAAGGACTTCAGGGCCTCTTCAGAGGAGCCCAGCTTGCACTGGATGAACCCCTGCAGGTTGTAAATGTGACCCAGCCAGATGTTTCCCTCATCTGTGCCGAAGTCCTCCACAACTCTCCCTATACGAGAAAATGTGTGACTTCCAGGATCGAGGTTCCAGGTGAAGTGGCACTCCAGTTTGTTCTCCAGACTCTGAGCAGAACTGAGGAGACAATAAACATGATAGCAATTTACCTGCAGCTGCAGAAATGTCAAATATTGTGGGTAAAAGTAAAAGAAAGTACAAAAGATGTAGTAAAATGTAAATAAATATATCTTTGTAGTGTTATCTATGTGCATGTGTTCATAGCCATCTTTTCTGAAGTAAACTGATTTGTAGATTTGCTTTTGGGGAGGTTGTGGTTGATCTACATGCAGCACTCAACCTGCTGAACTTTGGTGAAGAGCTTCAACAGCTTAAACTTTGACTGAACCCTGAAATTTATAGGATGTTTACTGAGACTGCAAGTCTGAATTTCTCATGTTGTTTCTCATCTCCAGAGCAGTCTCAGCTGTTGTAACCAGCGACCCCTGATTTCCAATAAATAGCGAGGAGAACGCTGGGACTGCAGTGTGGGGTGGAGATTTGTAAGGTGGAAAAAGTAAAAGAAAAAAATATGAAAAAGTGAAAGAAAGCAAACTTGTTTACTCCACATGGGTGTTACGAGAATGAACAGAAGAGTCCTGCAGTTCTATGGTTTGGCTACAGGTAGCAGTATAGAAATGTCTCTTTTATTGAATGAACAACATGAAAATAATAAATGCAAAAGCATTAAAAATTGCCCCAAATTCATCCTGTTTTATTTAACTAATTTAAATGGATGAACTCTCAATAGTCTGTAAATTTAGTTTTTAGAAGTTGAGGATGTTTGGTTTTATTAAGTAATACACAAAATATGTGTATTTCTTAATAAAGCCCTTGTTTTTATGTTTGTTTTCTTTTATAAAAATATTCCAGTGTACCTCAGTAGTTTTTAAAGTCTTGCTATAGACTTGCATGCACGTTCTGTGCATTGATATTGCTGAATCAACAGGTGAATCAATATGTGCTGCAGAGTATAACCTTTGCCCCCTGTAAGGATAAATGATCAAATCAAGGCTACTTTAATAAACCCTAGGAAATATCAGAACCAGAGTTCTCAGTTATGACCTTGTGACAAACTGTAATAACTTGTCCAAACAATTCCACCTTTAGCAAAATGATTTATAAAGCCTATTTGAAATGATATTTGTTGGGGTGTTTTTCTACTAAGTAAATGCATGAAATGCATACGCAGAAGTTACGTCTCGTTCTCCATGCCGACCACAATTTGCTGCTGCTCACTTGCTGTGGAGGGCCTCATAAACCACTCACACTCTTAACTAATTGCTTTCAGAAAGGGCTTAATATAGCCGCCCCCCTGCAGGTTCTTGCAAATGAATGAAGAAGTGGGTAGGGCGAGGCAGTAGCCTTTACAGTATGAGGCCTCCTACTGTGCTTACTATAAAAGCATGATCCCCGCCTCTCACTCTCTTCCTGTGGACCTTGCCCAGGCTGCATTATCAGATATCTGATTGGCTTTCCCTGCAGGCTGGAGAATTTCACTCTTCCAAATGTGAAAAGTTAAGCAAACCTGCAAGATACTTGCTGAACCAGTTCGCTTTGAACAGACTGTCTGCAAAATTCTTTCAAGTTTGTGGTATTTCAGCCAAAGGTCAAAGAGACTGATGAACCCTCAATCAGCCAAGCATCCCAGGAAGCAGAGATGGGAAGTAACGAAGTACAAATACTTAGTTACTGTACTCAAGTAGATTTTTCTGATATTTTTACTTTACTTATTTTTATGGCG